CTACTTCTTTGGCCCAAAAAAGCCAGTTTCGTGTGTCTCTTTCATACCACCGACTTGATCGTCCGTCTATCCAGTCTCGTTGTTGATCTGGGATCACTTTGCTCCTCCTTTCCCCTCGCCCAGCCTCTCCTCCTCCCCTCCATGCCTCAGCCTATCCATCACCGGTCCTCGTTCAATCGGCCTCTCGTCCGGCTCAGTCGCAGTCTGTCTCCCTTTCGATGCTTCTGGACAATCAGTTCCAATTCAGCAATCGCCTCCTCCCACCCTGGACCCCACGGAATGGGGCAATTCTCCATTCCATTCCATTCCAGCCCAGCAACCCTGTCCTTCAGTTCTGACCGCTCCATTTCGATCCTGTCTCCGGCCAGTCTCCCTATCCGTCATCCCGTTTTGCTCTCTGCCAAGCCAACCCAATGGCCCAACTGTTGTCATTTCACTCAGACCTTCAGCTCGAGGGTGACTTCATAAAACCTTGAGCTCAACAACCGAACACAGAGTCCTCGAAATTGCGACTTTATCGTGATCGCTTGAATCTGAGTTGTTATAACCCATTTTAAGGAGACAGGGTTTTGCACTTTTCCAAATACAGCCCAGCTATTGGTACCTGAAGTGAAATTGCATGCCCTCATTTCTCTCTCTCTTTTTTTTATCCTGCATTCTATCTTGCCCCAAATGGGAAAAGCATACATGCTTTCTTCCCGGGCTCTCGGCTTGAAGGATGCTTGACTGGGCAGGTCAATCGGGGTTCTGGCAATTGGCTTTTCGAGAGGAGACAGAATCCGTTCACTGGAAGCCCGGCCTTACTGCGTTAACGGTCCTTCAACGAGGTCGAACTGAATGTACCGAGGACCTTCAAAGGTCAAAGAAAACGACGGCGGATTCGCGTTGAACTGCAGCAATTCGGCTTTAATACCGTCTTCAGGTTGATACAGTTCGCAAGGCATCCTCGCTCGTTTCGAGCGAATGCGTGCTGAGCATTCGTTCGTCATGCCACTTGACGCACAACATCAGAGCTGAAAGTCAACTTGGCAAAAGTCTCAAGTTAACATCAGGTCAAGAAGACATTTGGCATCATCTACAGAAGTTTATGGCAAAAATGCAGCATGGGCAAAGCGAGGTCGAAACTGCAGTCAACGTTAGAAGAGCATTCATTTTGGGAGACTAGGCTTTGGGAATGTATGAAGAGAAGCTGGGTCTCGAACAATCTCTTAATAGCTTGAGAAGGCGCAGGAGGGTTGCTACGGACTTTTGTCTGTTTAATTGTGCGAAGAAGACCTCGGCTCACCGTCTTTCGACCTCGATGACTTCGTTCTGAGTCATCTTTCGTCATGTCACGTACATCGTCAAAGCCAGAAACCATTATTCACGAAAGAATCTCCCAGAAATTGGCATCGTGAGGCCTACTAACATAATTGTGGGAAAATTCAACTATCAGAATTTCGTCGTTTCATGTCAGAAAAGGTGGCCAAAACTCGTATTAAAGATCTAATGATGGTCTCTAAAACCTATTAATCGAGAAAAAAATGTGAATTTGCGAAGAAAAGTTGAGTTTTGAGGAATCTCTTGTTTTATAATTGTTGAGCTTACTTCCATTTCGAGTAAAAATGTTGTGTGAAGATATTCGAAGATCGGTTCCACCAGAAGACGACGGCGGATTCCTCTTGACCAGCTGTCGATTGACTTTACTGGAACATTCATGCTGACGCTGTTTCCGAGGCAATCTCCTGCGATTCCGGTAAAAAGATGCTAAGCTTTCGTCAGTCACATGACGTACATGATCAGAGCGAGGAGTTTTCTTCACTCGTTAGCTTGAATTTTGTTGTGACGATGATACCTTGCTTTAATGATGTTCGTCACTTGATGGATGAAATCTTAGAACCTTTTCACCGGAATCGAAGGAGGTTGCCTCGGAAACAGCGTCAGCATGAATCTTCCGGTAAAGTCAATCGACAGCTGGTTAAGAGGAATCCGCCGTCGTCTTCTGGTGGAACCGATCTTTGAATATCTTCACGCAACACTTTCACTCGAAATGGAAGTAAGCTCAACAATTATGAAACAAGAGATTCCTCGAAAC